AGTTCAAATAACCAAAAGCACTTAGAAAAGTGCCTGCCACTCAGTGAATACACTGGAAGTACATGCCATGGGTACTGTAGCTTGTGAATGTGATGGTCATCTATCTAGTGTCTGGCACAAAGAGTTGATCCAAAAAATATTAGCTTATATTACAACTTCTAGTTTCTCCCATCTGAGCTCTTGAATTTTAAGGAGCCCGAAGGGAAGGGAATAGGATCACAAGTCTGTTTTGGGATTCAACATAAACAGACATCAACAGGGCCCTTTCCAAAATCTTACTCCTTCAGTAGCTCAAAATTTAATCTTACGCCATAGGAGGAAGAATTTTCCAGTGCTCCTTAGAGCAAGGGCAAATTCTTGAGCTTCACCCCAGATCTCTAGAATCAGAAGATCCTGGAAATGTAACCCATCCGTCTGTTCTAGGTTTTGGATTTGGTTTGCAATGCCCACTGACTTTTTTTTTTTCAAGACCATTTGTTTTAGAGTAGTTGTAGGTGAACAGAAACATTGAGAAGGTACAGAGGTTTTCTGTGTGCTCCCTGACCCCACCCCCAACATGCATAGACTCCCCATTGTCACCATCCCCCACCAGAGTGGGGCATTTGCTACGGTTGATGAACTCGCATTGACACATCGTAGTTACCCAAAGTCCATGGTTTCCTTTATGGTTCACTTTTGATGCTGGGTGTTCTGTGGGGTTAGACCCATGTATAATAACATGTAGCCATTGTTACAGTGTCATACAGAGTATTTTCCCTGCCCTGAAAACCCTCTGTGCTCTCTGTTTCTTCCCCCAACCCCTGGCAACTGGGGCTCTTCTTAGTTTCTGTGGTTTTGCCTTCTGTCTGTTGTAACAAGTATCCCAGAGATTCTCCTGTTTTCTCAAGTTTGAAAATACCAGATGTAGGGCTGCCTGGGTGGCTCAGTGGGTTAAGCCCACTCCTGCTGCTTTGGCTCAGGTCATGATCTCAGGGTCCTGGGATCTAGTCCCACATCAGGCTCTGCTGGGCAGGGAGCCTGCTTCCTCCTCTCTCTCTCTCTACTTGTGATCTCTCTCTGTCAAATAAATAAAATCTTTAAAAAAAAAAAAAAGAAAAGAAAATACCAGATGTAGACTCCTGCTGCTTTGACCACCTTCTCTTGCTGGGGGTCGGGGAGGAGGGTAGCGGACAGAGAATTGGCTACTCCATCTGTAGGGCAGGTGTTCTAGCCCAGGGAGGGCTAGATGACTGAATTAAGTAGAAACATAGGGATAAATCCTACCTGATCTTGGTGGATAATCTTTTTAATGTGCTGTTGGATCGTATTAGCTAGGGTCTTGTTGAGAATCTTGGCATCCATATTCATCAGGGATATTGGTCTGAAATTCTCCTTTTTGATGGGGTCTTTGCCTGGTTTGGGGATCCAGGGTAATGATGGCTTCATAGAAAGAGTCTGGAAGTTTCCCTTCTGTTTCTGTTTTTGAAACGGTTTCAAGAGAATAGGTATTATTTCTTCTTTGAAAGTTTAGTAGAATTCCCCAGGGAATCCGTCAGGTCCTGGGCTCTTGTTTTTTGAGAGGTATTTGATCAGTGCTTCAATCTCGCTAGATAATGGTCTATTCAGGTTGTCAGTTCCTTCCTGTTTCAGTCTTAGAAGTTTCCAGGAATGCATCCATTTCTTTAGGTTACTTAACTTATTGGCATGTAACTATTGGTAATAATTTCTGATGATTGTTTCTATTTCTTTGGTGTTAGTCGTGATTTCTCCCCTTTCATTCATAATTTTATTAATTTGAGTTCTGTCTCTTTTCTTTTGGATTAGTTTGGCCAATGGTTTATCGATCTTATTGATTCCGTCAAAGAACCAGCTTCTAGTTTCGTTGATGTGTTCTACTGTATCTCTAGTTTCTACCTCATTGATCTCTGCTCTAATCTTGATTATTTACCTTCTTGTGCATGGAGTTGACTTAATTTATTGCTGATTTTTGCAGTTCTTTATGTTATAAAGAGCTGATGTTTCTTTATGTTATAAAGAGCTGATGTATTCGGAATTTTTAAATTTTTTTTTGAGCAAGACTTGGATGGCTATGTAATTCCCCCTTAGGACGGTCTTTGCCATATCCCATAGGTTTTAGACTGATGTGTCTTCATTCTCATTGGTTTCTATGAATTGTTTAAGTTCTTCTTTGATTTCCTGGTTGATCCAAACATTCTTAAGCTAGGTGGTCATAGCTTCCAAGTATTTGAATTCCTTCCAAACTTTTTCTTGTGGTTGAGCTCCAGTTTCAAAGCATTGTGATCTGAGAATATGCAGGGAATAATCTCAGTCTTTTGGTATCGGTTGAGCCCTGACTCGTGACCCAGTATATGGCTATTCTGGAGAAAGTTCCATGTACGCTTGAGAAGAATGAGTATTCTGTTGTTTTAGGGTGGAATGTTCTGTATATATCAATGAGATCCCTCTGGACCAATGTGTCATTCAACGCTCTTGTTTCTTTATTGATTTTCTGCTTGGATGATCTGTCTGTTACTGAGGGTGGCGTGTTAAGATCCCCTATAATTAACGTATTCATACCAATATGACTCTTTATTTTGATTAACAGTTGGCTTATGTATTGGCTGCTCCAATATGGGGACATAAATATTTACACTTGTTAGATCTTCTTGGTGGATAGACCCTTTAAGAATGATGTAGTGTCCTTCTGTATCTCTGACTACAGTCTTTAGTTTAAAATCTAGTTTATCTAATATGAGAATCGCTACCCCACCTTTTTTTTTTTTGAGGCCTATGGCATGAACGATGCTTCTCCATCCCTTCACTTTCAGTCTGGATGTATCTTTAGGTTCCAAATGTGTCTCTTATAGACAGCATATGGACGGGTCCTGTCGTTTTGTCCAATCTGCAACCCTGTGCCATTTTATGGGAGCATTTAGGCCGTTCACATTGAGAGTGATTATTGAAAGATATATTTTTATTGACATCATGTTGCCTGCGAAGTCCTTGTTTCTATAGATTGTCTCTGTAAATTTCTGTTCTATGTCACTCTTGGGTTCTTTCTTCTTTTATAGAACCCCCCTTAATATTTCTTGTAGTGCCGGCTTGGTGGTGACATACTCTTTTAAACCTAGCTGGTCTTGGAAGCTCTTTATCTCTCCATCCATTTTGAATGTCAGCCTTGCTGGATAAAGTATTCTTGGACTCTGAGAAACAAAGTGAGGGTTTTGGAGGGGAGGGAGGTGGGGACCAGGTGAGCCTGGTGGTGGGTATTAAGGAGGCCATGTATTGCATGGAGCCCTGGGTGTGGTGCATAAATAATGAATCTTGGAACACTGAAAAAATAAATTTAAATTAAAAAAAAAATACAGATAGTTCCAGAGAACAGTCAGGGGTCGGGGTCGGGGTCGGGGGGCTGGGCAGGGACCAAGCACTTTGAAAGCACATGACTCTGTTGATAGGTCTGGAACAGAACGCTTCAGAGGGTTAGGTCCTCTGGAAAGGGCTGATGTCGTATCTTGTGCCATACTTCTCTGAGTGATGGCCAGGGAAAGGAAGGCGTTTTGAATTTTTATGTGAGGTTAAAATGAAGAAAATCCATTTCAGCCTTCAGAAGTCAGAGCTCTTGGTACAAAAGGTCACTGATGCCAATTGGAGGCATGGCAGAGCTCAGAGGGAGAATTAAAATAGCAAACTTTTTGTTTTTGAAGCACTAGTTGCACTAGAGGCTTGAGTTCTAAGTCTTTTGCCATCCTGCTGCCCTGGGATCTTAAGTAAAGAGCATGTGGGAAAGGAAAAATAAGCCATTTTTCTTCCTCCTGTTGGATGGAGGGTAGGGAGTTATCCTCAGATGAGGGGCGATGTAATATTTGCAGTGGAGTGAGCAAGCCACCAAGTGATGACTCCATGGGGAGAGGGTTGTTTCCAGTTGTGTAGTGCGAGTGGCTGGTCAGTACTGATGGATGTTGGCCTCGAGTTTGATCCTTGCTCCCCACATTTCCTTGATTATGGAGATAATCCATTCTTAAGGGCTTCAAAATTGTCTCTATGCATGAGGCTCTCAGACCTTCTAAACCTGTTGGGATGCTGTTCCATGATCATAGAGGAGATGCAGAACCAATTTAATGTTGTACAACCTTTCCAACCACCTCCCAGATTGGTGACCTCTCCCACAGCACTGTCATCCTCAGTCACCCAAAGTTGAACCCCAAACAAACTACCTCTAGCCCCGGGCTGGGTCTGCAGTAATCATTTGTTGACTTTGCCTGAAATGGCCACCCTTTCACAACCATGTTGAAATATGCCTTCTCATTTTCCTAAATGGAGTCATTCTGCTATTTCTCCTATTATGTTGGTTAAAACTGTGCATACACACAAACATATGTATATGTATATATGCACATAAAGGTACACACAGTATTCCCCAATTTAATATTATGTGAATTTAATTGTGGAATGATGCTGGGAAAGTGGTACATTGGAAATACTGGTATTCCAGTGCTCCGTGTTTTATCGCAGATCAGTGTAGCATCTGTGGCTGATGGATCTGTGGCAACACCAGTAAGCCATTCACAGACTCAGACCTCTCTTTGTTCTCTCATTTGTTATGAAATACAATACTCTCCCTGACCCAGAGGTGTGTTATAGAACTTCAGATTTTTTATTTAAATGTGACCGACCATAGCATATCTATTTTGTTAGAAATTATAATGCTGTGTATTGAAAGTGCCCTACCAAATGTCTAAGTTCTTACTAAAAGGAACATGGGGATTTGGGACTGTAATTTGACCTTAGAAATATCTGTAGGAAACATTACCATAAAAATAATTTGGTATCAAGAAGGGTCCTTAATGTTTGCAATTAGGCTAACCATCAAAAGAAGCATCCTGTCTTTCCAAACCCAGCTCCCTCGTTGCTTAGGGACAAGAAAGAACATCTGATCTCACTCTCCTGGTTTTGCTGCTTGTGACCCTGAACGAGACCTTGACCGTGGAGGTTAACCCTGACCCTTGTTTTCTTTGCAGACTGCATCATCTGCTATCAAAGGTGCTATTCAGCTGGGAATAGGATACACAGTGGGGAATCTCACTTCTAAGCCGGATAGAGATGTCCTCATGCAAGACTTTTACGTAGTGGAAAGCGTCTTCCTGCCCAGGTAAGAACATTTCCACTTGCTAAAGAGCCTGCCGAGCGGCATCTCCCCGTTGAAGGCTTTCATACCTTCACATGCATACGTGTCTACGCTGGACCTTTAGTGGGCCCAGAAGCAGTGCTGGTCGTGGCTACTTTCTTTGGTCTCAGGTGGCTTGCATTTTTTTTTTACGTGGAGATGGGAGGTAAGTTCTGTCCTATGGGCCACTTGTAACTAGTCACGGTAATGCCAGGAAAATGGCGTGAAGACGGACTTTGAGATTCAGCAGGAAAGAGTGCGGTGCTCACGGAGCAGCGTCTGCATGAGTTCAGACAAAGAGGGCGTCGTGGAAGCAGCAGCTGGTGCCAGGTTGTTGCTCCCCCCAATTTCAAAGACGGGCTGGGAGCCCACAGTTGGGCCTCATATCTGAGCTCAGTCATTAGCTCTTCCTTTGCGATGACTTTGACTTAGTTTCCCTCCGGAGAACTTCGGAGACTCCTGCCATTTTGACACCATATTTGCGAAAACACCCAGTTAACCACGCGTGTTGCCTCCAGCTTTATTGTGTTTGGGGGTGGGGCGATCAGTGCAGTAAATAAATGTGAGGCAGATGGTAGTGGTGGCTGACTGCGGCGTGAATACCCATAGTCCCACCGAGCTGTACGCTTACACACGCTTAAGTGGTAGCCCCGTGTTGCGTAGCGTTTTCCAAAATAAAGTTTTAAAGCCTGGCACCGGCTCAGTAGAGGAAGACAAGTAATCATGATTGAATTGGAAAGGTCACCGCTGCTGACAGGATTTTTCAAAGAGAACGGTCTAGCCAGTAAAAATGCAGATAGGTACTTGATTTGGGGGCTTAAGGCATTTATTTTGTCTTTGGGGCAAGGAGGTTTGACTTATAAGGCACGTTTATACTTTAAAATAACTATTTCCCTCCCAAATAAGTCGCTTTCATTTTCACTTATCACTGGGCTTGGGCGAGAATGGCTGGGGCGACCCTTGGGCCCTCAGGGTCTGCATTACGTTATTTTTTTTTTAAAGTCTTCAGGGAAATGATACTTGTGTGTATTTCCATGTCCAGGTGTCAGCTGTCTGGAAATCAAACCAGTAGGTGATGAACTGAAACAGCCTAGTTTTGGTTTAAATGCTCTGGGCTGAAATACAGAACTATCAGAACTTTTGAAGTGCATTTCCCTTGGGTCCTTAGCAACCCCCAGAACTAATTTCCAGACAGAAGATGGACAACACTTTATTTCTCTTTGTTGTCTGATTGCTGTTGCTAGGACTTCTAATACTATGTTGAACAAGAGTGGTGAGAGTGGGCATCCTTGTCACGTTCCTGATCTCAACGGGAAGGCTGCAAGCTTTTTCCCATTGAGGATGATATTTGCTGTGGGTCTCTTTCATAGATAGATTTTATGAAGTTCAGGAATGTTCCCTCTATCCCTATACTTTGAAGTGTTTTAATCAGGAACGGATGCTGGATTTTGTCAAATGCTTTTTCTGCATCAATTGAGAGGACCATGTGGTTCTTCTCTCTTCTCTTATTAATTTGTTCTATCACATTGATTGATTTGCGAATGTTGAACCATCCTTGTAGCCCAGGAATGAATCCCACCTGGTCATGTTGGATAATCTTTTTAATGTGCTGTTAGATCCTGTTCGCTAGGATCTTGTTTAGAATCTTAGCATCCATATTCATCAGCGATACTGGTCTGAAATTCTCCTTTTTGGTAGGGTCTTTGCTTGGTTTGGGGATCAGGGTAATGCTGGCTTCATAGAAAGAGTCTGGAAGTTTTCCTTCTGCTTCAATTTTTTGTAACAGCTTCAGGAGAATAGGTGTTATTTCTTCTTTGAAAGTTTGGTAGAATTCCCCAGGGAATCCACCAGGTCCTGGGCTCTTGTTTTTTGGGAGGTTTTTGATCACTGCTTCAATCTCGTTACTAGATATCGGTCTATTCAGGTGGTCAATTTCTTCCTGGTTCAATTTTGGGAGTTTATAGTTTTCCAGGAATGCATCCATTTCATCTAGGTTGCTTAGCTTATTGGCATATAACTGTTAATAATAACTTCTGATGATTGTTTCTACTTCCTTGGTGTTAGTTGTGATCTCTCCCTTTTCATTCATAATTTTATTAATTTGGGCTTTCTCTCTTTTCTTTTGGATTAGTGTGGCCATTGATACGTTCTACTGTATCTCTGGTTTCTACCTCATTGATCTCTGCTCTAATCTTGATTATTTCCCTTCTTATGTGTGGAGTTGGTTTGATTTGTTGTTTATTCTCCAGTTCTTTAAGGTGTAGAGACAGCTGGTGTGTTCTGGATTTTTCAATTTTTTTTGAGGGAGGCTTGGATGGCTATGTATTTCCCCCTTAGGACCGCCTTTGCTGTATCCCATAGGTTTTGGACCAAAGTGTCTTCATTTTCATTGGTTTCCATGAATCGTTTCAGTTTTTCTTTGATCTCCTGGTTGATCCAAGCATTCTTAAGCAAGGTGGTCTTTAGCTTCCAGGTGTTTGAGTTCCTTCTGAACTTTTCCTTGTGATTGAGCTCCAGTTTCAAAGCATTGTGATCTGAGAATATGCAGGGAATGATCTAAAAAAAAAAAAAAAAAGAAGAAGATGGACAACCCAAGGCCTGAAATAGAGGCCTGTTTACTCATGACACTGTTGATCTTTCCGGAGTTGGAAATTGTCCTGTGTAGTTTTTATTATTTTTTACAAGATTGTATTGATTTATTTGAGCGAGAGAGTGAGAGAGAGAGAGCACAAACAGGGGGAGGGGCAGCGGCAGAGGGAGAAGCAGACTCCCCGGTGAGCAGGGAGCCCGACACAGGACTCGATCCTGGGATCATGACCTGAGCCAAAGGCAGATGCTTCACCGACTGAGCCACCCAGGCGCCTCTGTGTGTTTGTTTTTAACAGTCTGTTTAGCATTCCCAGAAAGTATGCATTAACTACATTTTTTCTCTAGAAGGTTAGAATGTCATGAGTTTATCTGAATCTTTTGGTATGATCTGTGGTTAATAATTGCTATAAAAGTGCTTGTGAGCTGTTCTGGCCTCTACCCGGACATTTCAACCAGAGGTTTTTTACATTGGCTACGAAGACCAAGAGGAACGGAGGTTTTTTGTGGGAGGGGGGCTGGCAGTGAAGTTTAGGGTGCAGAGAGCAGTTACAGCTGCAGATGGGTGGAGGAAGAAGCGCAAAGTGCTCCATCACCCATGGTGTCCGATCGACAGACACCATGGATGGGCCCCGGGGAAAGCATGGCTCAAGCAGGTGGTCCCCAGACCTACAGCTTAGGCTCACCTGAACTTGTTAGAAATGCGCATTATTGGGCTCCACCCCAGATCAGCTGAATCAGGAACTTTGGGGGTGGGGCCGAGAAAATCCTTCCAGAAGGTTCTACGCACAGAACCGAAAACCACTGACCTAGCACAGTACTTCCCGTGTTACAATGATAATCTTTCCAGTAGCTCCCAGATTTCATTCTTGGAGTTATTACGTGATTTTTGCAACTAGTAAAACTCCAAATGATTTTTAAATTAATACCTAAAATTTCAAAATCATATCTATTTAGTAACTAAATGATAGAGGACACTCCAGGAGATACTTTCCGATAAGGAACACATACATAGGACCTCATAGGCATGGAAGGCACTTTCTTGGGGCCATGAATCCTTTTATTCGTGGATGATTTATTATAAGTGTACTGCATTTTCTGATGAAGACAAATGAGGTTGTTTTTCACCTTTTTCTCCAGGAGTAGGAAAGCCAACATTGTCCATACCTAGAATTTATGTCTTTCTTTTTTTTAAAAAAGATTTTATTTATTTATTTGAAGGAGAGCACAAGCAGGGGAGGGGCCGAGGGAGAGAGAGAAGCAGACTTCCCAAGGAGCAGGGAGCCCGACATGGGGCTCGATCCCAGGACCCCAAGATCATGATGCAAGCTGAAGGCAGGTGCTTAACTGATGGGGCCATCCAGGCGCCCCTAGAATTTGTGTCTTTGACCTTCACTCTCTGTGCCAGGATAGCAGTAGCAGCCCTTGCCTGGCAGCCACGTCACAGCTAGTTGACCCTCTTCAGAAGAACCCACTGTCACATTTGAAGTATATCATTTCAGGATCCTTCCCACCCCCCGGCCATGCCAGCCATAGCTCCTTGTTACTCTCGCAATCAAAATGCCCCCACAAAGTGATGAGCAAATCCAATACCTTGACCCTGGCAATGGCTTCATGGATATAGACGCCTGTGAAAATTAACAGACTGTACTTTATCGTATCTCCGTGATGCCTCAATAAAGTTGCCAGAAAAAGTTCCCTCCCTGCCTGCCCCTAGTTCTCCACCTGCCTGGAGACAAGTGTTGGTGCAGGGGAGGGTGCTGGGCAAGACTGTCCCCGGTTATGAGCAGCTGAGCATTCTGAAGTGTCTGATGGCTCTGAAATGCGAGGAATCTGTCTGGGTCATAGAGGAAACTAATTGCTTAGGGTGCCGTGAGATGTTCTAATTCACTACCATCATGAAGCTGCAGAATCTGTTTCCCTTAGCAACAGAGCGAACTGTGATATTTATTTAGTTATTTAGTTATTTTAAAGGGGGGGGGCTCGGCGTTATTTTTAGACATTACACATTTGTCCTCCAGATGATTTCACTTTGTAGATGGAGAAGGTCTGAACTTGAGATTCGAGGGATGATATAAAATCCCTTTCAACGATCTGGTTCCGTGATCTTTCAGAATCAAAGTAGATGAGTAGGAGGGTGGTGACCGTATCTTCATCTTTTGACTCCAGACTCCCTGCTGCACTCAGAAACTCAAAGTTGTGGATCCATTTCCATGTGTAGATGAAATGAGGAAGAAAGAGGATGTTCTGTGATGTTTTGCCTTGTGAACATGAACCTGGGGTGGAAAAAGGCAAAATTTATGAGGACCAGCTATGAACCACCCATAGTTTTGATATAATATTTATGTAACATATAGTATTAAATTATTGTTTTTTTCACAGTTACCAAAAGAAAAAAA